GCTTTATGGTCTGCTTCTAGGGTGTTTATGCTCAAAAGTGAATAGTTACATCTGAATATTTTAGCTATACTTACACAGTCTTGAACTCATGGGTAAAAACCATGTATTTAATCTCTAGCTTGGTAACAAGATCTACCTCTGTAGTGTGGCTTTTGCCCATGCCTTAAGAGTCAAGAATGCGTTGTGGGGCAGAGGAGACTTGAATCTAGAAGTAACTCCTGTGGTATACTTCACAAGCAGAGTTTCAGCTCGAGGGATGTAGTTTAACTAAAGACCAAGCCAAATGTAGTAAAAAACAATCTGACCTAATCATATTTCTTAAATGAGGGTGAAAATTGAAAGCTTTTCGACAGAAATAACTGACTGAACAAGATCAGATCAGAATCTTCAGTATCCAGTTACACTTACTACTGCTCTAAGTACACTGTAGTTGCTTATCAGTATGACAACAGCATCAGCCTTGGTGCTGGCTTTTTGATGTCATTTGCCTGCTTGAGATGGACTCATTTTGAGTAGGAAAAGGGAACAGGCCAAGATGCTCGAGTGATGTCTGTCTGATTAATCCTAAAGGCTGAAACTGCAGGAAGTGACCAGTCTCACATGCTTTCCCTAAATATCTCCTCCTTTGGCTACCATTGAGAGGGCATTACTGGGCTTGATGAACCGTTGGTCTGACTCCACTTTTTGCATTCTGCATTGATTTTTACAGGATCATCATTGTTTTTTTCCAAATTTGTATTGAGAATTTCAGAAATGGAAGGCTGTTTTATTAGCAAAGGCTTGCAGAAATACACTTTAGATTCTTACTAGATTCCTAGTTTATTAATAGCCAATACAGTGGTTTTTTAAGAAGGTGTAGGGCTTGAGTTGAAGGAGTTGTGTGAAAAAACATTGATTTGATGTGATCTGGAATGAGACTAAACCATGGGAATCAATCTTTCTAACATGCTTCTATAAATATTGTGGGACTGGCTACATAAGTATTTCTTGTAGCTTGCTAATCAACACTTAAAGTTTTTATTAGTTTAGCAATATTACCTGAAACTGACCTTTCTATTTTATCTTGTTAATTTGAAAATAAGTATATTCTTGGTCAAATGTGGCTTGGCTTTTTGAAATAAAGACCAGAAGCTACCTCTTGTTCTCTTCAAGAAGTTGGACGGCATTTACAAATACTTGACTAATTTTACTTTCCCGCTGAGTTGATTTTGGCTACTTGGGTGATTTCTGAAAACTAACTCCGTTGCTACCAAGTGAGCTTTCAGTGAGTTGAAGCATTTTGGTTTGATAGTTGAGGGAGGAGTATACAAAAGGAGGTAGGTAATACTTATCTTCAAATTACGAAGGAGTTGGCTTGACATAACAGGGATCTTTAAAAGGTAACTTTCACCGTGCCCTGCTTTACTCCATTTTCCAGAGGTTTTAATACTCTACTACATTGGGTTACAAGAAACCTAGGCTAAATTC